AGGCTATAGTTGAAGGTTTGAACTTGGGAATTTGCCCACATTTATTTATCAAATAAGTCATTCTCCTCCCCTGGGGCCAGTAAATCGAGTATCTGAAAGGCCACAAGTTTTTAGGGAAAGTGACAGACACTGCAGGGCAAGGGTCATGGTCAGCGTGGACTGCCAAGCCCTGTCCCACACTGGGTAGGGGCTGTTGGCCTGGCTGTCCTTGACACCCTCTCTCAGTGCTTCGGGCTTGTTTCAGACCCGGGCTGGCCTAACCTGCTGGTGAGGGGCTGTGACCGCCACGTCCTTCTGAGCCTAGAGACGGCTCAGCAGCGATGGCCCAGGGTGACACAGGGGTGTCCACCCCACCTGGTGCCTCTCTGCACTCAGGTCTCGGGGACTATTGAGAGGACAGTGGCCCTTGCAGTGGCCCTTGATGGAGCCCCCAAATTCCAAGGAAAAGCTCAAGGGATCGGAGCTGCCATGAACTGTCTCAGGCTCAGCTTGGCATCAGAAGACAAGTCACACCAGTGCTGGTGTTTATTTCTCCCGGCCCAGGGGATTCCACAGCCCCTGCACCTGCCTATGGAAGAGACACAAGCTTTGTGCAAATCCCCTTTTAACCCGCAGCTGAACCCCTAGGTGCAGCTGCTCTACTTGAGGTGCCCAGTTAAAGATGTCCAACCCCTGCTGGGACTGTTCCCTGATGAGGCATTTGCATGGAGAGCTCGGCCTCTCCAAGGCTGGACTCGTGGCTGGACTCGCGGCCGGGCCCCACCTCTGCGCACACCCTGCCCGTCTGGAGGTCACAGCGCACCGTGGAAGCGGTGTGAGTAGCCAGCTCTTTCTTCACTGTGGCTCTGGGCAGCCCAAGCCAGCTCTCGGGTGAATGTGAGGCCTGAGAGCAAGCTTCTTTGTGAATAATGACATAATTCTGGAAAAATGCGGCATCTCCCGGATACAGCATCTGGAGCTTTGCTGGCGGGGAGGGGGGCCCAGAGCGTGTTTAGTGTTTGGGCTCTTGGCGATTCTTCGTCCCACTGGTGTGTGTGCATCTCCGTGTGTGCACACCTTTTCCTGGGCACGCTTGTTTGCAGATGCTCACGCAGAACGTTTCTTGAGAGGCCCGTGGGGAAGAGGAGGAAGCGAGGAATGCCGTGACACCTGATGGAAAATATTATGCCTCAGCCCGCAAGGCTGATGTGTCTCCTCTGACTCTTGCCTTTAGATCAAACAAAACCCCGACTGGTGAGCATGAGCCACATGCACATGGGGCCTGCGGGTTGGGGCTCACCCCCCGAAACGGCACTGTGCTGATTCTAATGTCTTCCAAAAGGCTTCCAGAATCATACAGTGTTTGGGATCCTCCAACTCAAGGCCTGAAAGGTCATCCTGGCCAAATGGCCAATTGTAAAGAAAGGAAGTGAAAGGCCAGAGAAGACCCGTGACCAGCCCAGGGCTGCATAGTTAGAACTTGAATTCTGTCTCTTGATTCTCAGAAAAGGGTTTTGTCTCTTCTGTCCTACTTTGGTTGTCAGGCAGTCAGTATATTGTGACAAGTGTCAGGCAGCACTTTCTCCCCCACTCTGGTCTTACTCATTCAGCAACGTCGGGTGTCACGCGCTGTTCCAGGTGCCGCGGATGCAGTGGTGAGTGGGAGACCTGTACCTGCTGCTCGGGGGCCCATGGTGCTGGGGCGAACAGCTGTGAGCAGGAAACTGTGTGGGGTGCGAGCAGAAGTGGAGTTCTGGCTCTGGGGGTCCCCGGTCACTCTCCCCACCACCCCCTCGTCCTCCATCCTCCTGGTCATCATCCCCGCTCTTTGTGGAAAGCTGCCTTGAAGGGTCAGAGAGTTCGGGAAACTCGCCTGGGGTTGCCATGGCCAGGTTGAGGCCTGTGGGGTGGGGGGAGCCACACTGGGCTCAGCACCCCCGACCTTCACCCCTCCCCTCACTTCCGACCTGTTTTCCTTCCACTCTGAGGTAGAGGCTGTGTCTCTGGTAATGAGTGTTTCGCCCTGGAGCACTCCTCTTTCTCTCTTTTTGATTGAGCTATAATTTACATACTATAAAATTTTAAAGTGTACGTTTCAGTGATTTTTAGCCCATTCACAATATTGTGCAAGCATCGCCACTGCCTGGTTCCAGAACACTTGTGTCACCCCGAAAAGAAGCCCTGCGCCTATGAGCAGTCCCCCCCCACTTGTCCCTGCCGCAACACCTGCAGGGCATTCACATCGATGGGTCGTGCGGTATGGGGCCTCTTGAGTCTGGCTTCTTCACCTCACATGGCATTTTCGAGGTTCATCCATGTGCTAGCTATGCCGGTCAGCACTGTGTTCCGTTGCGTGGCCCGGTAAGATCCCATGGCGTGGGTGGAGGTACGGTATTTTCTGTGTCCATTCATCTGTGGATGCCCTTTCATTTTAACCCCAATCACAGCCCCCCACTGTCTCCTCGAGTTCTCCAGGGAGTGTTTGGGAGTTATTTCTGACTTCTCCAGTGCAAACTTTGTTCGGCATTCTCCCCCTGGCAGGCTGGCCCTATTGCACATAATTTCCAGGGGGCCCAAGGAGAAGGTTACGCAGTGGTTCTGAAATGGGAAGGAGAATGTCCTCTGCCCCAGCTCCCCAGATCTGACATGGGGGTACGTCCCCAGTGAGGGCGGCGCTGTTAGTGGTGGGAGGAGGCCCTATCTTGCGGGAACGGCTGAGCCCATCAGTGAAAGGTGGGTGGGTGCACTGCCTGACCAGCGTGCGTGTGAGTCTATCTGCAGCCACATGTGGGACGCAATGAAGACAGGCTATGGCACAGCTTGTCTGAGAGCAGGTTTGAGGCCCGGGCTTTATTGTTTTTCGCTTTTGTTGTCTTTTCATTTTCCCCACTTATTTCAGTAAGTTGTAATTCACATGCGGTAAAATTCACATTTGTAAAATGCATGCTTCTGCACATTTTAACAAATGTGTAGTCAGGTAACTACTACCACCATCAACATTCTGATTGTCACCCCCTGAAAAATCCCCCCAGACTCCATCAGAGTCCCCACCCCTCCTGCCCCAGACCCTGGCAGCCGCTGGCGTGTTTCTGTCCCGATGTCTCGTCTGTGCAAGAATATCATAGAGATGGAAGCACACAGAATGGAGCCCTCTGACTCTCCTTCCACGTAGCACGGTGCGTTCGGATTCATTGTGCTGACGTGTGTATCAGTCCCCTTTCATTTCTGAGTAGTAGTCCATTGTTTATCTGTTCCCCGGTTGAAGGACATTTGGGTTGTTTCCAACTTTGGGTGATTATGAATAAAGCTACTATAAACATTCATGAACGGCTTTTTGTGTGACCATAGGTTTTCATTTCCCTTGGGTAAACATCCAGGAGTGGGGTTGCTGGGTCATATGGTCAGTTTGTGTTTAACTTTATAAGAAACTTCCATGCTGCTTCCCAAAGAACAGGGACACTCTGCATTCCCACCAGCGCTGGACAAGCATTCCTTATCTTTTACTGTGTTCTAGTCCCTAAAATGGGTCGGAGCCTCTCTGCTCTGCACTTAGCCTTCCCCCCCACCAAGGAACAAAGATGCATGCACTGTGTTTACCAGTTTTAGTTTGGGTCCCCCCGAAGTAGACTCTGAGGCAGCGATTTGAGTGTAAGTGGTTTATGGGGAAGGTGATCCTGGGAAACACCAGCAGGGCAGAGGAGAAGTGAGGAAGATGAAGGAAGCCAGTAAGAGACATGCTGTCAAGCAAGGTACCATTTGGGGCAACTCACCTGTGCCCCCCTGGGAACTCTGCAGTGCAGTATGGAGCACGTGCCCGAGTCCTTTCCCGTCCCAGGGCCCAGGGGCTGGTTCTGTGAACCATCTCCCGTCAGTCATTGGCTGAGGGCTGCTGCCCGGGTCTCATTCATTTCCGGGCACTTCCGGCTGTTCTGTGTGCAAGGAGAGCTGGCTTTGGCCAACAGAGTCATAGGTGAAGGGCATTTGGAAGTCAGGCTAATCTGTGACTCGCTCCTCAGGTGACAGATGATTCCTTCCAGCTGCTCCCACGCTCCCTCTTTCAACATGGCCATGATTCATGATTCGGGTCAGTCTGTCTTTTATTTCCCACTACCAACTGACTGACTGTCGAGTCCAGTCAGTTGACAGAGAACTTGGTTGGTGAGTGAATCACTGCCATTCTATTGAGCAAAGCCCTTGATTTAGGTCATTCTACACACACACTGGCCAGCCATTGGCTGCCCTTGAGTCAGGTGGCCAGGGCCAGCCAGCTGTGAGCAGAGAGGTGAGTCCGAGTTTAGAGCAGCGCTTGCTGGCAGGACCTTCTGTGACGGAGGACATGTGCCATGTCCGTGCCGTCCACTGCGATGGCCGCCAGCCACACGTGGCTGTTGAGCACTCGAAACGTGGCTAATGCTACGGAGGAACTGAATTTTTATTTTAGTTTAATGTTAACCAATTCCAATTTAAACTTGTATAGTGGCTAGTGACTACCGTGCTGGACAGCACACGTCTCAAACAGGGGCCTAGAGGGGTCTTGGCCTCCTCTCTCCAGTATAAATACGATAAAACATTCTCTTGAGATCAGTTTTTTAAAAAGCCAGTCATTACCTGGTTTAAAGTCTTTGTGATTCTGAATCTTTGAAACTCTCCAAAACCAACCTGCTTCAAACATTGGAAACACCATCATTTTAGGCAATGAAGTCAAAACTGACCCTGCGACGTGTTGTTACAACTGTTACGAAGCTGCCTCTGACACAGTGACAACTCATTCTCAGAAGCTTTAATTCTGTGACTCCCACTGACATCTGCGGACACTGGTTCGGGGTTGTGAAACGCGTACATGTGAGTTATTGATCACTCAGTAGCCACGTGGGCCCAGCAGGCGGTAGGGCAGAAGTGGTCTCTGGGAATGTGGAGGTGCAGTTGTGTGCTTCACGGGCAGCTCGGGTGCGAATTTCTGAAGTCGGAGACAAGTTAGGCTCTGCACCGCCTGAAGACGACATACGAATGTCTTAAACTTTTGTTTTAAAATTACTTCACCTTGGCTTCAGGAATGGACTAAGAGGCACCTAATCAGAATTCCTTTATAGTCGTAATAATGAGAGGGAGCTTCAAGGAACATCGGACAGGGAGTCAAAGGACTGTGACTCTTGTTCACGCTCTGCCCTGATCTGCTTGCTTTGTGACCTTTAGCAAGTGGCTGTACTTTTCTGAGCGTTGCTTTCTTTATCTGTAAGTGTGGCGTTTTGATTCGATCTGCATTTCACAAGTGTTCTGTAAAATGTCATGGCAGGAAATGTTAATAGATATATCTGAAAAAAGGACTCTATGGTCAAATGTGTTGGAAAGTATTGCTTACCATATTTCCTTTTTGGGTATTCCAGCTCCCACGCATATACCAAAGGTTCTGAGAAGCCCTGCAGAGGAATAAAATAGATATTTTTCACTTTATAAATTCGGTTTCCCCAAGTGATTTGAGCATGGCATCCCGCTTGTGTGTGTATGTGCATGTGTGCGCGCACGCGCACCATCTCTTGGCACTGGGAGAAGACACGCTCCATCGGCACGCACTGGTGTAGGCCAGCTCTAGGACAACACAGTGTGTGGGACCCACCAGGAAGGTTGCCAGGAGACTGGGAGCTGTTATCAGGCCCGTAGCTGGGGTCGTGGAGGGGAAAGATAGAGCAGGACCACGGAGATCACAACAGAAAAACCACATGCATTCAGCAGACAGTCGAACAGTGGAAGCTGGCATCCTCTTTGGATTCAGGTGACCTGGGTTTGAATTTCCAGCCACAGCTTAATAGCAGTCCGAGTAATTCCCTCAGCTACTCTGCTCAGTTTGCTCAACTGCAAAGTGGGGAGAATATTGAGGCCCCATTGAGGATGCATTTGACACAGAGCCTAGCCCCTACCAGGCCTTTAAATACTAACTGTTGCTATTACTAACCGCAAACAATACTTTGTACAGGGTCTTGGGGTGCAAAGAGGAAGGCACACACCATTTGCAGGGAGCTCAGCATCCAGCTGGCAAGAGACTCCGAGATACTGTCCCTCCTTCCATGCCACTCCATGCTGGCTGCCGGGGGCTTGCAGAGGCCTCGCTGGGCAAGCCGCAGCCTCCACCCATCTTGCTGTCCCAGGAGCCTGCCCCTGAGAGTCAAGTGCAGGTGTCTGGTCTCAAAGGGCTCCCCTCGTACCCATAATTTTGGGGGCCCTGCTCATGTGCCAGACTCTGTCCTCTGCTTTCTGTTCCTTAGTGTTTGTTTTTTAAAAAGTCTTGTTAACTCCTCTGAGTTAAGCATCACTAGCCTTGTTTTATAGATGGGGACACTGGGACCCAGGTTCCAGCATGCCTCTGCTGAGGCTCCCAGAAGGGTGAAGAGCGGAGCGAGGATTTTGATTCAGAGTTGGCGCTATGGACTGAATCTTGTGTCCTTCGAAACCCTTATGTGGAGGCCCTGACTTCGGACGGGACGGTGTTAGGAGCTGAGCCTTTGGGAAGTAATTTGTGTTGCATGAGGTCATGGGAGTGGGGCCCCATGACGAAATTGGTGTCCTTACAAGAAGAGGAAGGGAGACCAGGGCTTTCTCATTTTGCCATATGAAGACAACAAGAGGGCCGCCATCTATAAGCCAGGAAGAGAACCCTCCCCAGGGAACCTAATCAGCTGGCACCTTGACCTTGGACTCCCCAGCTTCCAGAACTGTGAGAAATAAATGTCTGTTGTTTAAACCACCCGGTCTGGTACTTTTTATGGTATCCCCAGCTGACCAAGACGGTTGGGGTTCTTCACCCCCACTGAGTGCCACGTTCCACCCAGTGTGAACACACAACAGGCCCTAGTGTGCAGTCGAACCCCAGGCCGCCGAGGCCAGGGCCCTGCTCACTGCAGTCTGAGCCTGGGATCTGCTCTAAACAGTCCTGGCGCCATGGTCTCAGCCACCTTGGTTCCCTCTCCAGGGCTCACAAAGGGAGGAGTTCTATGAGGACCCTCTCCCCCAGCCCCAGCTGAGCCTGGGACCACCTGGAGACAGAGGGCACCCCTGGCTTCTGCCAGGGGGATGTCGTGAGGTGACGCAGTTGTGCCTATTGTCTCGGGGAAGTTTATCTGAGGCTGCTGTGGGCCTGAGCGGCTGTATTCTTAACCTACTTTTAGAAACAATGCTGGTTGTTTACCAAGGAGAGCCCTTCCCAAATGCTGAGCCACCATCCAACGAGCTTTTCCTTCCCTTTCATAACTTGTATGTTTTAAAGGTAAGGAAGTTTAAATGGTAAAGCCATAAGGTGGGCCAAGGGAACACTGTCGGCCCATGCAGCTGGGATAGGACGTGGGGAAGGCAGCTGCACGTGGAGGCTGGGCCGCTGCTCTCACTGGGCGGCTGGTTGAGAAACCCAGGGGCCTTTCCTGCTGCTTTCCTGCAAGGCCTGGATCTGGCCAGTTTGGGGTGTTGGGGTGGGGGGTGGGCTGATGTGTTTTTTTATCTGGCCCTGGTGTAAATGGCCCCTCCTGCCAGTTTACCATCGGGGGGCTGGATTCGTAATCACTGGGTGAGCAGGTACCGGGCTGCAGGCTTTCTCACCTTGACCAGACTAGGGATACCCACCAGGAGCTGGACAACCCTCGCCACTGGAGGCTGAGCTCACTGGGCCCCGAGTTAGGAATTGAGGATGGTGGTTACATTGACCGTCACCTAGGTCAGGGGCCAGGGTCTAGGTGACGGTCTGAGGCCAGGTCACCTAGGGGTGGCTGTTGTGCCCTCTCTCTGTAGTTGTGATATAAAAGAGCAAGGCTTTGCAGGGAACTTCAGGCTGCTGATGGGGAGGGTGGTGCGAGAGGGTGCCCGGTGGGAAAGGAGGGGGCAGGGGGCTGCAGACCAGAGCCAGGGTCTGGGTGCCTCAGCGAAGAGGTAGGGCTTTAGCACTAGGGAGCCACAGAAGGTTTTAATGCAGGAGCAGCTAGCTGCTTAGAAAGCTAACCCTAGGGCCCCAGGTAATCCCATGGATGGCAAGTGGTTGGACCCACACCCTGCAAACTCATGTGAGACACTCTTTTTTCATCCTTTCTGTGGCACCTCCCGCATTTCAGCATTTCTCAGACTTTTCACTCCTCTGTACTCCAGGTCTAGGTCAAGGAAAGTGCCTCTTAGGTCCAAAGTCTGGGTCTGGGCCCTCTTGTTGGCCATTACTCCGGAAGGGCTGCCCTTGGACATGACTCTGGCCCACAGGGATCATGTGTGCTCTTTTTAGCTTGCCCCTCCATTCTGCTCGGCACGGGGAACTCAGCCCAGGGTCTTATGCGCCAATGTGGAATAAGCGAGTTCCACTTAGGCTGGTTTGGTCTTAAGAAGGGAAACTCTGTAAGAGTCAACTCAGTAAGGGGGGTTTATTGCATAGATACAACAGACAGACCCCGTGAGGATGCAAAATGGTCGTGAAACGTAAGGAACAAAGGTCTGCTTTTTTTTGCATATTTCAGGCACCTCTTGCTGACCGAGCCCCAGACCCAATGGCAGCCTTCTCTCCCCAAGCTGTATGATGGATCCTGTGGCTCTCATGTCCCCACAGTGGGTGCCTCGAGCTCTCATCGTCCCCTGGACAAAGAGCTCATCTGTGCCCTCCAGGCTACAGGGTCCAGCCAGCCAAGAGGTGGGAGTCTCTTGGGTCACGTGCCCATCCGTGTCCAAGCAGGCCTGTGGTTGGCCCTTCTCACCAACAGATGCAGAAGGGCAGGAGCTGGGGTGAGGTGAGGGAGGGTGGCTCCGGCCCTGCCCTGCCTGGGAGAGGCTGGCTGCTCATGGTCTGTCAGCTGTTTGGCAGAACCAACCCAAATTCATCCTTGTGCTTAGAAGGGGCCATGGTGGTGTAGGGGAAACAGCCCTTGACCAGTCCTGGGTTCTGGCAAGTAGGTCCGGCATCTACTTGTAGGGGCCTGAGTTTTGTCCTCCACAAAACGAAGGGGTCAGATAAGAACACCACCGGGGATGTTTTTAAAGCTGTGGCTTTGATTGGGACCTTTGCCTTGGCACAGCCACACACAGGGTGACATGGGGCCAGGAAGGCTGCTCGAGTGTCGGAAAAGGTGTCCTCCCCACCCTCTCTGCCCAGCCAGGTCCAAAACCCTGGATGCGGCCTCACGGGAAATGGTGTCCCTTGAGGATATGACATGAACTAAAACCGACTGAGTTTCTGCAGACACAGGGAGAGGAGGACAGGGTGCCCTTGTCTGTGCTGATCCCCAAATGAGCGTCCTCTGTGAAGCCTGCCTGGGTGTGGGACCTGCGGGCTGTGCGTTATTACCAGGTGACAAAGGACATGGTGGAGACAGCCGATGCTGTCTCTGCGTGTCCTGTGCGCTGGCCTCGTGCACACCGCCGATGCGCTCCGAGACAGAGAACTTCTGTGTGTTGGTCATTTATCCTCACCTGCTTCGGAAGCAGCAGATGGGAAGAAAACAGAATTAGCGAAGTCAACTTTCAAACAAGCTTTGTGTTCATCAGGGCGATATAATTAGATTATTTAAAAACAAAACCCAAAAACGCAATTCCGTGTTTTTCTGTGCCAATAAGGGACTCCACTGCCGGGGAGTCCCAACCCGGCTTTCCTCTGCCTCCGGGCGGACCTCGCGTGTGGGTTTTAGCTACGGTCCTGATATCTGAGGACCCTCCTCGGGTAGTGCTGCCCCGTCATGAGCTGGACCCCCTTGGCCACATTCACCGCACAAGGTGGGGTGTGATTCTGTGGTGGGAAGGTCAGTTAGCCTGGGCTTGGATCCGGACTCTCCTGCCAAGTGGAGTGTGACCTCTGGCAATTAATTTGGGTTCTTTATGCCTCTGTGTTTCCATTTGTGAAGAAGGATGATAACAGAGTTGTTGAGATTAAAACATTAACCCGTGACACGTGATAAGTGCCGACTAAGTGTGTGCCTTTGCCATAGGAGCCCTGTGGCAGTGGTTTTCACTGTCCCCATGGACCCCATCCCATCTCGGGACACGGAGGAGTGATGAGGTATGGTTGGGTTGTTCTGCGTCTTTAGTTATTATAGAATCACAGGGCTGGACCCGAGGGCGGGGCTCACGAACAGCCTGCAGAGGCCTGAGCTCCAGCAGATCTCAATCCTGGGGCAATTAGACACTGAGTACCAGAGAAGGTACCTTCACCTGGCCTCTCGGTCCCCATCAGCCTAGGGCCACCCTCCAGAGTGGGGCAGGGGGTGGTATTCTGGCTCCTTCTCAGGGTAGAAGTGGGGCCTCGGTCACAGGCAAATCATAACTTACCTCACTCCGCTCGCTTCCGGGCCAAGTGTCTGTTTTGCTCTGTAATGGAAACATAGAAACAAGCTGGCATGGTTTCTAAACAAAGAGGGACTTTTCCCAGGAAGTTTGTAGACCCGACACCTTCTCCTTGCTTTCTGTGGCATGTGGCTTCTTCTCTGACAATTGGTGTGACTAGCTTGGGAACAATAGACAATGGTCACAGCCTGCTTCCTGTAAGAAGGAAGAATGGGCACAGGTGGGTGTCCTGAGGCCCCAGTCCCCAAGGGGTTTCCTGAGAGCATCCCATAGTCCCTGACCATGTGCTCAGGGTTCCTCCCAGTCCAGACAGCTGCATGTTTGGCCCTGTAATGAGAGCAGTAAGGATTCACATTATCGAGGGTCCCTGTGGGCAGACCCTCTTCTGAGACCTTACACACTTCAATGAAATGATGCTGAGGACGTGTCGGGACTGATAGGAGCTGCTGAATTCTGCTCTCCAGACCTTGTCCTTGGAACCCTCTCGGAAGAGGCTTGCATGCCCCAGGCCTGGACCACTCTGCAGTTGTGAAACTGAGGCCCTAGGTAATGCAGGGACAGGCCAAGGTGATTCAAGGACAGAATCAGACGTTAACCTATCAAAGGGGTGGGAGGCCTTGCTGCCCCCTCCTGCCCTGCCAGCTGCACCTCCTCCACTTTCTCTGCCTTGTCTACTGTGGCCCCCTGGCCTCCTGCAGGTCCTTGAACATGCCTTCCTGCACTGTCCCCGCTGCCCGCCCCTCTGCCCTCTGCCCTGCCTTTCACCCATTCCATTGCTGGCTGATCTTCAGGGTTTGGCATAAACCTCACCTTCTCAGGGGGCCTTCATGTGCTGTCCTGAGTAGCTGGGCTCCTTTGCCGGCCACTGCCAGCCCCTTTATTCCTAATCACAGCCCCCTCCCTGCTCATTTCTTTCCCAGCCCTCACCAGAGTTTGTAACTCCATTTGTTGGTTAACTGGCGTGTTGTCCTCCTTCCTGACTTGCTGGGGGCCCAGTCTGAGCTGCCCACTGCCCACTGCCCACTCCACAATGCAGACTCCACAACAGGGGCCTGGCTCCCAGACCTTCACATGGTTGGGGAATGTGTGAATTGGCTTGGGGGGAGGGGGGAGGAGGTCTCTAGATTTCCAGAGATTTTTTTCTGAGGTGCACTGTTGAGAGTTAAGTATGGTTTTGTTAAATCAAACAACAAGTGTTTTCCTTCCAGCAGCTCAAAACTGCAGTGTGCCTGGCATGTCTAAAAAGATCATTTACTTCTTAAGAAGGCTCTGGAAATTGTATTTGCATTCAGGCTAATTGGGCTGGTAGGTGTTGGGGCTAATACACACGTGGAATTTGAACTCTACCCTACCTCAGAGAGCAAGGCCGCACCGATAGGACAGAATGCGTTTAAATGCCAGGAGTGTTACTATTAGTCGCAATCTTATCTTTGTTAATAATAATAACAGGCCCGCCTAGAAGTTGTTGAACAGAGGAGAGACGCTTTCCAAAGTGAAGTTCTGGTTGTCAGACAGGATGGCGGGCCCTGGGGAGGCGCCCACTGACTCCATCGATACCACCGTGAGGGACAAGAGGATCAGCCGGAGGTCCCACCCTGGTCACACGCGTTCAGTCACATCCTCCACACCCTTTGGGGTGCTGGTCGTTCAGAGAGGCGCCACGGCCTCTCCGACGCTGCCCGCCCAGGCAGAGGCCCGCGGGGCAGCTGCTCCGCACGGAGATCTCTGCGTGGCCTTTCCCTTCCATTGTTTCCTGCACCAGCGACTTGCTGAAACAATGTGTTTCCTACAGATTTTGTTTGCCTGCGTGGATTTCTTTGTTCTGCTCTAGTTAAACAGACAGTTAGCATATACAGATCTGCGTGCCTGACAAAGAGAAATCGGGAGGCTGGGATCCGTGGCTGCACTGAGTCACCGGCTCCGAGAGCCTGCAGACCTCGGATGGTCCAGGACTCCCGGATGACTCATACCGTCCCTGCCACCCACGTGTGCCGAGCTTCAGTTGCTGGAGGGGATGCTGGGCCTCCTACTAGTCCAGGGAGACCCATGTTTGAGAACCAGGTTAGTCCAGGTGGACTCCCTGCCCCAAATCTTTCCTTAGCTGTGGGACTTTGAGGAAGTTGCTTACCCGATTGAGTGTGTTTTCTCTTTGATGAACAGTACTGATGAGGCTGCAGGGCTGAAGGGGTTAATATTTGGCAGTCGTCGAGCACGAGCCTGGTGCTGCTGTGTGGCTGCCCTTGTTGTTCGGCTGTCGGGCTCTGTTGTGTGGACCCCTCTCAGAGACTCTTCCCATTGGGAAAGGCTTCCCTGCAGACCCGCTTGACCCGGAAGTGCAATGGAGGCCATCACTGGAGGCTCATGTGACCCTCCTGGACGCAGTGGTGGCTGCTATTCATCAGAAATGGCTCAGAATGCCCTGAGCTTCTCTGCCTGTGTGGGGTACACAGCCGAACAGGATGGCAGCTGAGAACTCAGATACCAAATGGGACAGATGTGGGCTTGCATCCCCGCTCCTGCTCGCTCCAGCCACCTGCTGCAATACTTACGTCTCTGAGGGCTTCTCTTCCCTGATTCATGGCGGGGGGGAGGCACAAGCATTAACTGCACCTGTGCTTCCTTCCACTCAGGGGGGCCTGGCTCTGAGCCAGCACACAGGATGGGGGGGGGGCTGACTGAGGAGCTGCACCTGCAAAGGAAGGGGGCGGGCACAGAGAAATGATCACCGGTTTTCAACTTCTCAAGTCCTGCCCCTATTCGATGTTCAGGATTGTCCATGTCATGTGTGGTCCTGCTGGTAGAACTGGAGTGGCAGGAGGGGGACTTTGGTGCGGTCCCTTGGAGCTCCATTGTGGGATTGTGCTGCCTGCCTTGGTACAGCAGGTTGGGCATATCAGGAGTGGGTGTCCTCAAGAGAGGGCAGACCCCATGTGTCCCTTTAAAAAGAGTGTTAAATAAATTTGCTCGTGTGAAGTCCATGGTGAGCATTAACGGTGTGGGGGGAGGGGCACCAGACCCAGTGCCCTGGCCCCAGGCTTCCTCCAGCCCGCCCAGGGTGCCCGCGAGGCGTTGGCACTTCAGACCACAGGTGCAGGTGGGCCCCTGCTCTTATTTCCCCAGGCGTGGTCCCCATTGGCCACCTACTTTTTGGCTGTGGTTTAGGGTTTATTTGATGGTGGGGAAGTGGCTGAGCCACACCAATATATTTAGTTTTCTTTTTAAGACCTTATCTCTTTAGAGCAGCTTTAAGTTCACAACAAATTGAGGAGCTGTAGAGAGTTCCCATATACCCCCTACCCTCAAATGTGCACAGCCTCTCCCACTTTCAACCCCCCCCCCCCAGAGTGGTGCACTTCTTACCATTGAAAAGCCCAGGTTAACACACCATCTAGGCGCCACAGTTTACCTTACGGTTCTCTCTTGATGTTGTAAATGCTACTGGTTTGAACACATGTATAAGGAATGACATGTGTCAGTCATTATAGTATCATACATCATCATCTAGTGTCAACATGGAGCAGTTTCACTGCCCCAAACTCCTTTGTGCTCTGCCTGTTTGTCCCTCCCTGTCCCAGAACCCCTGGCATCCACTGATCTTGTTATTGTCCCCATAGCCGAGCCTTTTCCAGAAGGTCATAGGGCTGGACCCATAGAGCACGCGGCCTTTTCAGATTGGCTGTGTTCACTTATGAAGATGCACGAAGTTTCCTCCATGTCTTTCGATGGTTTGACAGCTCATTTCTTTTTAGTGCTAGTATTCCATTGTCTGAATGTGCTATAGTTGATCCATTTGCCACGGAAAGACATCTTGGCTGCTTCCAAGCTTTGGCAATTATGAATAATGCTTCTATAAACATAGAAGGGTGTGCAGGTTTTTGTGTGGACATAAGATTTTAACTTCTTTGAGTAAATACCAGGGAGTGCAATTGCTGAATTGTATGGTTAAGGGTACTCTTAGTTTTGTAAGAAGCCACTAAACCGTCTTGCAAAGTGTTCATACCATTTTGCCTTCCCAGTGCCAATGAACGAGAGTTCCTATTGCTCCACACCCTTGCCAGCATTTGTGTTGTCAGTGTTCTTGACGGTGGCTATTCTCATGGTTGTGTAGTGGTATCTTGTTATAAATTACATATCCCTGATGCTTTATGATATGGGGCATCTTTTCTTGTTATTCTTTACCATCTCTGTCTTCTTTGATAAGGTATATCTTAACATCTTTGGCCCATTTTCTAATCAAATTGTTTTATTGAGCTTTTATTTAAATTTAATTTTTATTTTTTATTTATTTTTAGAGAGAGGGGAAGGGGTAGAGAAAGACAGGGGCCCTGACTAGGATCCACACCCGCCACCCAGGCAGGTACCCTGACTGGGAATCAAACTGGTGACCTTTGGCTTTGTGGGACGCGACGCCCAACCCCCTGAGCCACACCAGTCAGGGCTTTTTAGGGAGTTTCAAGAGTTCTTTGTCTATTTTGAATAATAGTTTCTTATCAGATGTGTCTGTTACAAATATTTTCTCCCCGTCTGTGGGTTGTCTTCCCATCTCTTGCACTGTCTTCTGCAGAGCACAAGTTGTTCACTTTAATCAAGTCCAGCCTGGCGATTATTTCTTTCAGGGATCGTGCCTTTGGTGTGGTATCTAACCTGTCGTCACCAAACCTAGGGTCACCTAGACTTTCTCCTATGTTATCTCATCCCTTGGGTTTTCATGGGCGTCACCGTCATCCTTTGTTGACATAATTGGCCGGCCTTCCTTTGATTACGTGTGCTCTCTCTTTCTTCCGCTTGGTAGAGCTGGCTTTGTGTCAGAAGGGAGAGAGCCCCGAGGAGCCTGGTTTGGAAAGGCACGTGGTCAAGCCGTTGGTGTCCCACCGGGAGCTGGTCCGACCCAGCCGCGCCGCTGAGGAGTGGGATCCAGGTCCTGGCCGACACACAGATCACAACACCTCCTGGCCACCCAGGCGGCCAGCACTTTCCTCCCCGGGCACAGCAACACAGACCACGCTTATCTTTGAGATGTCTGACCCTGACAAGGCTGGGGCCTGTGAGCCAGCGAGCCACACACGGTCCAGGTGGGACCACACACCGGTGTCGGCAGGAAAGCACATTAGCAGGAGCTGTGTAGAGACATCCCAGTGTAATGTTGATTTCAGGGCTTCATCAGGCGCTTGCCCGCTGTGCTTCCTCCCAAAGGTGCTCGGTGCACTGATGCCGAGTGTCCCCCGGCACTGGAAAGAGGCGTCGTGTTGTCGGAAGCCCAGGAAACTCAGGACAGGCGGTTCCTTCCATGGCTCTGCCATGCCTCCCACAGCACAGCGGAGTATTTTTCTCTCCAGACTGTTGCCCACAGCTGGAAGCAGCAGGTGTGCTTTTGCCTGTTGAAGGAGGTTGCAGTTTTAGGTTTCTCTGTCCTCTTGGTAGAGGACACACAGCTAGTGTGTGCCCTCTGGGTGGGCTGAGGTTGCACTACAGCCCAAGAACACTGTCAAGGGTTGTCAGCACTGAGGGATCCCCTTTCGGTTCCAGCTCCCACTAGGTCACCTTGGGCAGATCTCCTGGCTTCTGTGGGCTGCAGGTCTACCTGTTTTTACAAGGAAGTTGCTGTGGAAATGCAAAGACCCTTTAATGTACTTTTTTGGGGAAGGACAGTATTACAAAGTGGTTAAGAACCTGGGATTACGATTTGGCCACATGGTAGCTTCCTAAGGCTCTCAGTTTCCTGACCTGTAAAATGGGCTAATAATGGTCCCTGCTGCTGGATTTGGGGATGCTGGAAGCAAATAGGCACCAATGCACAGTTCCTACCTAGCACATGGGTCAGACTCAGTAGGTGGCATCTCTGCCCATTATCATCTCTCAGTGTGACCGCCACCCAGGGTGCAGGGCGAGGTTCCCGGGGCCAAGGTTGCAGCCAAGATAAGCACCCAGAGTGAAGTTACAGGGCACATAGTTGATCTGTACCTTTGCTTTCTCTTCCCCAAGCGGTGACCTGGACGTTTGTGGCTGTGACCTGTGCCTGACCTGCTGGAACGGATCAGGGCGGCCAGGGCGAGGCTCCTTTCCCGGGGCAGGGAGGGCTCTGTGACGGCCTCTCGTGTTACCACTTCCTGGAGACAGCCAGTCCTTTCAGTTTTGTGTTTCATTTATTTCAACTTTCCTGTGAAGGAGACTTGATACAGAGGAAGAAAAACATATGGTGAACCCTTTATTTCCTGTGATAAACGATGATCTTTGGAACTGGGGTCAAGTCTGAATTCTTCAAGGCAGAATTTATTTTATTTTATTTTTTGCTGCCATGGTTTTAAAGTCACGACATGCTGTGCTTTTGGCTGCTGCTCTGTCTGGCTGATGGTTCCAACGAGATGCCAAGAAATTAGATGGGTGCCTTTGGAAGGCATTCAGAAATTACTCACTGGAGTAAAAATGCTACATTTGTTGGGGGCGAGAGCTGAGCATGTGTAAAATGGGTATTAAGCACTTAGCGCCAACATCAGACAGGAAAAGAAGGCTGCGGGGGTGTGGGGACCGCTTGCTGGCCAGTGCTCCAGATGCAGACAAGCAGCCCAAAATTCCGTGTGTTTCCTCCTTGTCCGCCCACACCTTTAGCTCCAGTGATGGGGTGTGCTGGGCTTGTGCTGGAAGGGAGTGCAGCTCAGATCCTGCAGGAAAGGGTGAGATGTTAAAGTGAAATCAGAGGTGGTTTGGGGATTCCTTGAAGTTGACTTTGACAGTTTATCAATAGAGCTAGCAGGCAAGATAGAAGACTCCAGCAGGAGGTGAGGTGAGGTGAGGTGAGTCCTGGACGGTCAGAGTCAAAGTGAGGAGGGATTTGGGGAGGCGGAAGTTCTCCTTTTACATATGAGAAAACCAAGGCTCAGAGAGGGCGAGTGGAAGGCCTAACGGCACACAGCTTGTTAGGGCCAAGCTGAGACCTAACCCCAGGGCTTAAACTTCTAATCCATGGCTCTTCCCTAAAAGCCTGTGGCTTGTTGCAGTTCACAAAATTTGTCAATGACAGATTATTACTATGCTGTTCAGCACGTCTGTACCAATTTACATTGGCCAAAAAAAGGTTCTACGATGTGATTTTTTGGTGACACATTACAGAGAATTTTTCTCTGAGGAGTGAAGTTCAGCAGCCTTTGGCGTTCAGGCAATGTTTCTTCCCAGTCTTTGCGCCCGGGCATATGAATGATAAGAGAAAGAAAAAGAC